CACCATGAATTGCGAGGAGGCCGCGGGTGGTGGGGTGTAGGAAAGGTGGGGTGGCTGCTCTGAGGCCGACTCACCGCAGGAAAGTTTCCAAAAGGTTGAAATAGACAAAACCAAGGCACGATCCATAATGCAGTCCCCCATCTTGGGAATGGCTCCGATGGCTGTGCAAAAGCCTTACCTGTGGGGCAGTGGGATCTGAGGACTGCGCCCTCCCCTGGCAGAGCCTCTGCAGAGTGAACGGTGGGAGAGGAACGCAGCAAGGGGCCTCCAAGGATGGAGAGGGACTTGCAAGGATCTGCCCTGGCCTGAGGCCGGAGGGAGGTCTTCAGCCGCCTTGGCCCGTCCGTATCGCCAGAGCCAGGCTGGGGCTGGGCAGACCCAGGTCAGAATGGTTGGAGGGTGCCACGCAAACGCTCCCTGGGGCCCGCGTGCAGATGTGGGGGGAGCACCTTTTCTTAGCCCCCACCCTCCCTGTTTGTTCCCCTCAGGAAAGCAGGGGGAGGGGGTGAGTGGAAACTGCTAATTAAGACCTCCGTGCACCTAATTAACGCTCTCCCCTTGCACTGAATTAATTAGGTTCCAGGTTGCCATGGAAATGGGATGTGACCTAGAAACGGAGGCAGGGGGTTGAGGAGGGAGGGGGCATTTTGTGGTTGGTTTTTCCTCTCCCCCCCCATCAGATCACAAGGGGGCTGCAATCTGCCAGGACTCTTTGACCTCAGAGCAACTTTTCGTAACAAAGGCAGGCAGAAAAAGGAAGCGAAATCAGACTGAACCCCAAACATCTCAGAAACTTGCTGAGAAGTTTGCAGCTTGATTGAGTTAACCCTCCAGCCTCTCATCAACCACCCTCCTCCAGCGCCAACCATGGCCCAGGTCCACCAGCATATCTCTCCCCTTAACCTTGGCTGCTGACCTTTCTCACCTACTGACCATGTTCCTCATCCACGGGTTTGGTTGCTCCCCAGAACCACCTGGGGGGATTCAGGTCTTCTCAGCTCCTGGATGGTCCAGTCATTCCCCCTCGCCTTGGCCTCTCCTAGCCCCTCATCCTTCACGAGCCCCCCCAGCTTCTCCTCTCATGGGCTGATCACCCTTGAGTCTTTGGCAGACCCCATGGTCCTTGGGGCTCTGACAACTTGGTCTTCTCAGCCGCAGGTTCTCCTCTACGCTTGGTTGGATGGTTCATTACAACCAAGCAATGACCACACGTTGTTCTTTGCAGATAGCCTGGTCCTTTGACCAGCACGGCACCCCCAACCGTGCGGCCTGTGGCTCTTCTGCCTTTGGGACACATCCCCTTGCTATTGATGCTTCCTGGGTACCAACCCTGGGGAGTCCGAAGCAGGTCCTTGAGTCAAAGGGGTCTTTCATCGGAAGTGGGGTAAGACAGTATGGCCACCTTCGCCCTTCTGTTGCGGCTGCATGCATCTCCCAGCTGGGATGGCGTCCAAAGGTGGACTGTCTTGGTTGTGTGGAGTCCTTGGTGCTCTCTGGGCTTGGTGGCTGCCTTGCGGACGTTTCATTACCCGACTGGGTCACATCATCAGTGGGATGATCATCGAGGAACGCCGTCTAGCACTGATGATGTGGCCCAGTCGGATAATGAAGCGTCTGCAAGGCAACCGCCCAGCTCGGAGAGCATCGAGGACTCCACAGTTCAACCCTGAGCTACAGAGATTCTCTTCTATCCTGGTTTTCTCTGCCTCATGCTGGCTGCCTTTCTCCTCTCACAGATATCCGAGACAGTGGGAAAAAACCCGTGATGCTCTTCATCCATGGTGGATCTTACATGGAAGGGACCGGGAACATGTTTGACGGCAGTGTCTTGGCTGCGTATGGCAATGTGATTGTTGTCACCCTGAACTACCGGCTCGGCGTGCTGGGTATGGGGGAGAGAGATCCTAGCCTAGGCCTCTGCCTCGGGGGGCGGGGGAGTCACCCCAGGGGTCAGGAGCTTTGCCCTCGAGTCCGGTGGCTTCTTCCAGGGGGAGTCAGACCCCTTCCCTGTCCCCTAGATCAGGGGTAGGCGATGCATGCAACTCCCCCAGCCCCTTTTCCAGTCCTGAGAGCCCCTGCAGGTATTTGCTGATGGATGGACGGATGGACGGACGGACTTCCTTGCCCGCTCCCTGATTTATTTTCCAAACTATAGGTCGTGCCCCAAGCCTAACAGACCCTAGGTGGACAAGAATAAAATGAATCATTTCAAAAACAAGAACAAGCAAAATAGTTGCTTCTCCTTGGTAGAGAGGGCTAGGGCTTTGGGGGTCTTTGGGGGGGGGCTGCCTTAGGTTTTTTTTTTAGCTCCTTGGATCAACTTAGATCAGGGTTTCTCAACCACCAACTTTAAGATGTGTGGACTTCAACTGGGGAATTCTGGGAGATGAGGTCCACGCATCTTAAAGTTGCGAAGGTCGAGAAACCTTGAGTTAGATTATGGAATTTAAATGACAGCTTTGAAAACTATTATCGTTGCTGTTGTTATGGCCCATTCCTATTTGCAGCATCATGCTTGGGAGATAAAACGATCCTGATCTTTAAACGATCTTTGACTGTTGCTGTGGGTGACCTCATGTTTCGCCTAACCGATACACAGAGAGAACTGCGTGTTGTTAAAAACGTTGCATTTGCATTCAAGCATCCTCATGCAGCAAAAGCCAGAGGTGGACCTTTGCCCTGGAGGATGGGTAGTGTAGTGCAGAAGGCAGCTATTAAGCTGGAGAGAAGACATCCCTCGCTTTTGGGGCTGGGGGTCCCAGCCTGGCACAAGAGCCCCGGCCTTCACATCGACATTGCCCACCACATCTGCATTGGGTGTGGCTCGGCTCCTTCCACCTCTCCCTTTGTTCCCCCTCTGGGCGTGAAATTTACCCAGGCACAGCAGAAATTAATATTTCATTAAAAAGTGTTTAATAATTAATGGCAAGGCCTCGTTATCTCTAGCAAAAGAGCCCCAGGATGGAATAATGATTAATTTTAAAGGAGATTGTTCATGTGTTGATGCAAATGTTTAGCAGAGGCAAAAAAGAAAAAAAAGATATAAAAAGATGCCTTCAGATCGATCGCTTTCTTCAGCTTCTTTTGTTTAAAATAGATACAAAGCAGTCTTCGCTGCGGAAATTACCACATTGGGCTGCCTGTTCAAAGCTTGTGTGCCTGGAGGTGGAATAGCATAGAGGAAGAGACAGGGACTAAAAAAATCAGGAAAAGGAGCATGGAATAGAAGTTCTGGGTTTTGTTGTAGTTGAGGGTTTCTCAACCTTGGCAACTTTAAGATGGGTGGACTTCAACTCCCAGAATTCCCCAGCCAGCATG